AACAAGTTCGAATAGTTTTTATTATCAAGAGGGATTATTGAACTTAAAATACTGCAATATTAATACGAGATGTCTACTTATCATAGCGTTGAAACAAACAATGACAACATGTTGGAATAATATGAATATATCGTATTATGTAGTTGTTGCTAACTAGTCTTTTTCCGACTAGTTAGTTACAACTACTTGCTAACTAATCGCTTACTGGATTAGCCATGCTATTCTTAACAAACTGTTAACAAACAAGTTTAAAATGTGCAAAATAGAGCATTTTAAATAGCAAAATAGGGTAAAATATCTTAATAATAATCTGTCAACTAAATATTAAAAGATGATGAAATAGTTATTCATGAAAAGAAGATATGTTTAAGTATGTACTTATTTAAGTTAATATTTACGTTAGCGTTAATATCACAGTTAACTTTTATTGCTATCTCGGTAAGATTTTCAATTTGAAATTAAATAATTATTATTCTTAATTTTGAATAATAGTTACTTAATTATAAATAACTGTTAACTATATAGTTAATGAAAAAATAAACAAACAGTTCATGAAAACAAAAACATTTTATAATAAAATTTTTTATCTTCAAAATAAGTATTATATTAATCTAACGGGCTTCTTCTGTTAATTAGGTCAAGTAGATATATGCTATAAAATTGAATATACAGTTAATCTAACTGCGTACTTCTATTAATTAGGTCAAGTAGATTTTGTATTAGATGGCATAGTTGCATTAGGTTTGCTTTTGGATCAAACCCATTTTTGCGTATAAATAACTAACAGCGTTTACTCAGTAAACTGTTAGTTAATCTATTCTATACTGAAAGAAGAATCCATAGAACAAATAAATACAGAACATAATACAACAATTTTCATCGTATTTACTCTCTATCTGTTAAAGGTGCATCTGTAGTTTGAATTTTTAAAAACTCAAAAGATTGCTATGAACTGTCGCCCCATTCTCTTACTATTTTCAACGAGGTCTTTTGTCTTTAATTGACTCTTAATATCTCATCTTAAGTCTGGCTTACCCTATAATAATTAATAAGATTTTGATTTCCTTTTTTTACTGCTGACTTATTAACCGTTATAGCAGAAAGGTTTCGTCGTAGCAAGCAAACTTCGTCGTTATTTCAGAAAAGTTTTGCCGTTATAGCAGAAAGATTTCGTCATTATAGCAAAAAGGTTTGCTCGTGCATTAGATGAAAACATTAAAGCAAGAGCTATTGCTTTTTGACGTATCAAACACGTTTATTAAAGTGTGACATGGGGGTTTTGCCTTTAAAGTGTGACATGGGGGTTTTGTCTTTAAGCTCTTAACGTATTGTGTATCTGGGGTATCTGGGAAAGTTTATAAAACTATTTAATTATTACCGCGTTATAAATGTTGTCATTGATGGGCATTTCCAATAACTTCTATGGTACGCAAGACTCTATCTTTTTGTTAATTATCGTTTTTTATCTATTTTAATTATTTTTCATTATTATTTCAACATTATTATCTTACTTTAATTGGTGATGAAAACTATATACTCCAGTCTTAACAATCAGTTTTTAATCATCACTTTTTAATCGCACGCAACAAACAGGCAATTTTGAATGCAATTCTTTATCTGTGACAAATTATTTTATTTTATTTTTATTTATTTTATTGAGTATTTTATTCAGTTGTTATCCTCCAAATACAGAAGATATTCCTCATAAATAACTTGACTCCTACAAAATACAATCTTTTTTTCCCTTAACAAGTTTTGGAGGTTTTAATAAAGATGGAATTGCCTTCAGTGACTGTGAGCATTTTGTGAACATTTCTTTCGATGCTGGGTGACAATTTTCAATGCTTGGTTACAAGACTAGAGGCTTTCATCTAGATGCTTGCAGTGGCTGGTAAATTTCAACCCTTATGAAATAACACTTATGAAAAAAAAACTTATAAAAAAACTTATATAAAAAAAGGGGTTCTTTACTAAGGGGGTCTTCTACTTATTATTTCTCATGAAAACTGTAAATCCAATCCACGTCAATGTTAGTATGATAAAAAAAGATTTAAATCTGTTAGGTTTGCCTTTTTTTATCATGCTTTATCATATTTGTATCAATTTATCATGCTGACTTTTTTATTACTTTTGATTTCATTATCTTTAAGTCTCGTATCCGCTTTGTATGAAACATTATATTCGGAATATTATTATGATTTTTATTTTCAAGCCGGTTCTTCTGATGATATCTTTTCTCTTATAGTTAAGGTCTGTAAAGTTGGAGGTTTTTTTTTTTGTTATTTTTACCATTCTTTTTGCTTTCTGTTAACTCCTAGTTAAGTAGTGATTGCTAGCAGCCTTGTTGTGAGTGTGTTTGTTAAAAAAAAAAGGTTAAAAGTTAAATTTTAACTAAAAGTTTTGTGACTCATTTGGCATAATACAAAAATACTTTGCTAAATAAATCTCTACGTTGCTTTATAACAGATAACATTCCAAAAAGGGCAATTTTTACGGGAAGATTTTATGTTTTCACAGAACTAGAACAATTTTTAAAATACAATAAACTACCAGCTGAATAAATGGCAAACAATTTTTATGTAGTTTTTGCAAAGACTTTTTTAAATTTTGTCAATAGATGCTTTGTTATTAGTAATAAGTAGTTGTTGGTTAACAATTTTATTTTGATTTATGCACATGATTTTACTAAAAGCCTTTCAAAACCTGATGAAATGTCTAACATCTTGTTCTTAAGTAACCTTTGGTATTTTATAGTTTGTTACTTTAGTCACATTCCATGACGTACTGCATGGGTTGCACCGTGTTTATTAAAGCATAGCAAACCATTTCCGATTTGTATTGTTCTATATTATCAGCATTATAAAGATTTACGTTTACAGTTTTTATATAAACTTAGTTACTTATTTAAAAGATAGTTCAAATACCGATTCACAGCCATTTTCCAGTTATAAATTTTGTCAGGCTTTTAGGCTTTATGTTAATTAATTTAAATGCTAATTGTGTTAGTTAATTTAAATTGCTATTTGTTTATAATTACCTGATTAAGAAAAAAGTTTAAAAATATTTGTTTTAATTTGGTTAATTTATAGAATAAGTTTGGTAGCATAATCAGCAATAGTGCTTACAATTTCGCAAAACGTCCGGATCAATAATAAGTTAAATGAAAAATCATTCCAATAAATGATAAATAATGTATTTTGTTGGACCTGACAGTATTACAAATCAAGTTGGTCTAGCCACACTTTATATGCTAACTAACGAAACTGGTTTGGCTAGCCATTATTATTTTTATATATGATGCTTTCCTGTTTCTCACTGCTCGGTGCAGCTTCACTAAAATGCATTTACAAAAAGTAATGAATTAACGCCTTAACGCCTACATCTTAATATAAATGGTAGCATAACGTAAAATAAAAATATGACCAATCTAATATAACGCAAAAATTACTATAGTTAACGTGGTTGTTTAACTTTCAGAAGATAAAAGTTTCAGAAATTGCAGGGTGACACTCCAAGAGTCTCTCCTTACCAGCCATATTGACCTAAAGCAACTATTAATTGAAGAGTTTATCTATTACCAGCTCCCCTAAACCATAAGATTTTTATAAATCTCTTAAGAATAAAATACCGCAAAGTATATCTATAGTAAAACTATAGGCGAAAATAATAAATATTCAAATAAAAAACCGTATTCATACTATTTAAGTTAATAAATATACCGACGATTTTTTTTTTTTTTTTTTTTTTGTATATTGTAATTATTTTCTTTTATTTCTAATTGTTTTTATATTGTAATCGTTTTCTTATACTCATAAGAAGTTTGTATGAAAATTAGATAACGCGCAACGTTTTGAAATCATTTCATCAAATAACTTATTCGCTAAATATTTCGTTACGAAACTTATAGCTTTAAAAATAGATTGTTTGTAAATAAAGATTTACACTGTAAATGGTGGACCAGCTGCAGCTGAGTAGAATTTAAAACTAACTTATTCTAGAGATAACAACAAAAGCTGTTGATATGATTATAACTTTGAATCGAGATTACTTAAAAATAAAAACAATGCTTAAGTTTTCGTAAGTGACCTATCGCAAAGCCTACAGAACAATTAAATTTCATTATTTGCAAAGAAATACAAAAAAAAAAAAAAAACTTTTAAGGACTATATTTAAAAGTTTATCTAAAAAATTTATCTCTAATAGAGGTATAAACAAATTATACATTATTTAGCTTTCAAAAATTACAAATTTGAAGTAAACGTTAACAAGTTTTTGTGAACTCGCTAGGTTTATAAATACTCTGTTAGTAATTTTATTTATTTATTTTTTGTTTTACTTTTCTTTTTTTTTTCTTTTTTTATTATTTTTGTTGTTGATATTTTTTTCATGTAGTTCACCTTCTTACATAAAGAAAAACAAAACTGAAAATAGTTTTAAAATGTCAACATAATCAATGTCAAATTTATAAAAAAATAAATATTAAAAAACACGCGTAACAAAGAGCGTTTTAAAAATGGGTGGGAATCCTCTTTTCAGTTTATAATAAAAGTAAATATTATATAACGAAAATAAGATTTAAAGTTTAAAATTAACGATTATTCTCTTGTGTTTATTAACGTTTTAATCTGTTTATTTTAAAACTAATTGTATTTATCTACTAGCTTTTACATATTGAATTATATAAAAAACTATTTGGTTTATTTTATTTTTATATTTATAAAGCAATTTGGAATAAAAATAATTTTTAATTGCTTCTTTTTTTTTTATTTTTACGTTTACAGTTGTATAACACTTCAGTATTTTAATGTATGAGTTATTTATCTATTTCATGTGTAATTCATAACAAGCGCATATTCTTTCTCAATAATTTTATATTAATGGAAAAGGTTGCGTTAATCAAGTCTTTTTTGTGTTTTAAAATTATTTTCTATAAGCTTGTACTCAATAATTCAAACTTTATATTACGAAGTATACATTATACAAGAAAGAAACATTTAATTGTTTACTTTATTTAGCTTTTTTTAAATACAGTTTTATAAGTTAGAACATTAGTACCTTCCGTACCTTACCATGTCTGCTAAGAACGAGGAAAAGAAAAACCAAAAAAAGGTTTATTCTGAAAAAAATTTGGACTATAAACAAAAAAGTCTTTGGCTGTTTGTCATTGTGGGAGTGTTGGTGGTGACAGTAATTCTTATTTTTTTTTTATTCCGAACAAAACGAGAATTAGACGAACTAAAGAGGCGTTTTAAAGAAGGTAAGAAATAATACTTTTTTTAGATAGAATCAAGGATCTTTTAGTGTTTGAAGTGGACCATGAGAAACCTCTAAAATGTCTAAAATTGCCTAATATTGAAAAACAAAAATTCCTTTATCAACGACTAAGTAAAAACATTATGCTTCTATTAACTCTTCGTTATATTTTAAAACTCATATCTCAACTTAAAACAACAAAAACTTTATTTAAATTAGACTTAGTGAGCGTGCATGGTTGCATGTCTTAAGTTAAATTTTAATAATTTTCAGGGGTTGTTTGAAAGATTTTGGGATTGCTTAAAAGATTTGTAATTTTGTTACAGTAGGTTTTAACACCCAACAACTATATTACATTTGTAGCTTACCCAACTAAGAGATTAGTTTAAAAAATTAACAATAAGCATGCAAACTAATTAGTTGTAACTTACTTAAAGATAAACTTTATTATGGATGAAATGAGAAGTTTAAAGCGAGAGAAAAGTATTAGCGCTAGTTAATAATATCACAGATAAAAAAAAAGTTTAAAAAGCACTGATCTAAAACCCGTCTGTATAGCATATACATAATGTTTTGCGGTTAATTTACTTATTAAATCAATTTAATCACCAAAATGCGATTAGTAACTTAAAAATGATTAAATGTAGCATACTACAGTCAAAAAATTAACAGTGTTGAAATAATTACAGTTTTTAGAAAACAGAAAGGTAGGAAAATAATAGTTGCTGTAGAAATAAATAAAATAAACAAAAAATATATTTATTTAAAAAAAGACAACAAATTTTTATAGCATACTATTGTACTATAATAACTAAAGTATTATTATAGAGCATTTCAAAAAAAAAAAGCTTTGAAATGCACTATAAAAATTAGCCATGTTCCGTGTTAAAATGTGTGTGTCTCGATAGCATGCTACGAGTTAAAATGTATGTGTCTGGATAGTTTAGTTGGTTAAACCGTCAAGCGAAATGTAAAACATCGTCTGTTGTGCAATACAAGTTCAAGTTTTTTATAATATGTTGCGCACTCTCTTTTGTAAAAGGCTTCTGACGATAAGATCATTGTGATCTTCTTTTAGAAGCCTTGTTTGTATTTGAAAAAAATATGTGATTTATATATTACGTCAAATGTAAACAAAACAAAACAAAAAAATTTCATCGGAAACTCATGAGTAGTACTTTGGTGGGCAAAAATGTTAGTCATTAACCGACGCTACTTTGGGGTAGTTTAATTGACTATTTGTAGCCGTTTCTATGCTAAATCAACAAATTGTATGGATATAAGAACAATGTATAGCAAAATACTGCGTGAAATATCAATATAATAATATAACAAATAAATAACTTAAATATCAATTAATAAATAAACAAAACAAATACAATATAAACAAAAAACAAAAAGAACACTTTGAAATGCGCGATAAAAATAAGTCTATAGTTAACAATGCAAATTTCATTAAAATTTTTAAATTTCGGATTTGTTTGGTTAACTCTAAATATAAGCTTTTTGTATATTTTTTGTTATAATTTGCAGTATCTCATTTTTAGAAATTTTATTGTTTGTTAAATTATATTTGAAATTAAGCAAAAATTGTGCCACTCATTTTATATTTAATTTTATATTTAAAAATGCTAAATTTCCAGGTACATTATTTTTTATTCGGCACAGTTTTTGGTAGTACCCGCTAAGCCATTTTGTTTTTCGCCAACTAAAACTATTTTGTTTTGACCGAAACTCTGTGAGCCCAATATTTTTTTGTTTTTTTTTTTTAAATACGAGCATCCGATATCACAAAAATCATTGCACTTATCATCAATTTACTCTATTATTTTTATTATAAATAAATTATAACAAAAATAATAGAGTAAATTGATGATAAGTGAAGCGGGCTACTCAGATAGCTGGGCTGGATCAATGGCATCAACCCGTGATGTTTAATATTTACTTATGAAAATTAAACTTTTTTACATGAAAAACGTGCTATCCTGGATAACAGAGATCTCGCTCACACCGTAGCTACGGTGTAAACGAGATTTACACCGTAGCTAATTACCCACTACGCGTATCAATTACCCGCTACGCGTAGCGGAAATAAATTATTTCAAAAAATGTTAACCAGAAGCAGTTTGTATTTTCAAAACCACGATAGTTTGTACAATTATATCCTAAATTTTGAAAATATTGTATCGACGTCTTTCAAAAAAAGGGGGGGTTAAATGGACAGGTCATGGATTTTTGATGTTCAAGATAGGTAGCTTACAGAGATTTTGTAAACTTTATGTTTAGTAATGTTGATACTGGTTTCAAACTAGAATTTTTTACAATAAATTACAGTAATCGGAGCCTGGAAACAATATATACCTTAAAAATTAGGATCCACTGTCCTTATGGAATAAAAAAAAAAAAAAATTTAATAGTTAATCTTTACAGTTTAATCTAAATTAAAATTCATCGAAAAATATTTAAAAATTATTTTTTATCGTTTAAAAATGGCGACCAATGAAAGTTTGAAACTTCTCTTTTGAAGGGGTATTCAACCATTTTTAGGTCATTACTTTCGAACGCTTAAGTTTTTTACTTAATGAGAATTTTACAGATGAATTTTAGTCGCATTCATAAATTTAAAATTTTTAAAATCCTTTACCGTCTCCTTCCTTAAATTTAGACATTAAAGCCCTAATTTTAGGATAAAATTGTTTCCAAACTCTGATCACAGCTATTTTTTTTCAATAATAGTTCAAGATAAGTAATTTACAGATGGTGTAAACTTTAATTTTAGTAATATTGATACTGGTTTCAAATAAGAATGTTTTACAAAAAACTACAGTGATCGGAGCCTGGGAACAATATATATCTTACGCTTTTTTACTAAATGAGAATTTTACAGATAAATTTTAGTCGCGTTCATAGTGATAGATTTTTTAAAAAAATGCTATTATTGCACCTTTCCTTAAAAAATGTTTGGACATTGGGACCCTACTTTTAAAGTAATAAAGTAACAAGTTCCCAAAACTCTGATCTGTTAATTTTTTTTAAACATGTTATTTGTTTTGGTGAAAAATAAATGGAGGTTTGTTTAATACCTTGAACAATAAAAAACTTTGAGTTTGCCTTGTGGTATATATTGAATTGTTTTTCAATTTGACTATGGTTTAAACAGGACAGAGTAATGTATATATTTATATTTTTATTTATTTTTATATTTCTATTTACAATCAATAATAGCTTCCAAAAGATACACATATGTATAATAACATTATAGGTAGATAAGGTATGTCGGGAGTTGTACGTAACAGTGGCTTAAACGCAGGCTTTTGCGTTCGAGGCAACTAAAATTATTATATCCACTCTCCGAAAACTGAATCAAATCCTAATGAACAAATTCAGAGACCTGTTTAGACCAAAAACTCAGTACTTTATTTGGATTGGAATTTGACATAAGTAAAAGAAATCCACATGTAAGAGCATGCACTTTCGGTGACACTCTTTCGTTGACCAAGTTTGTCATAAGCCTCTTTGTAATCATTAATGGCTGACTCATATTCTGGTAACAAATTAGAACCAAAATATGCCGCTTAACAGATTTTAAACATATAAAAGAATTAACTATGGAAACGATATGTTCATTTTTTTCTAGTTTAGAAGATTTTATTAATTCTTCTAACACATTAATATTTATAGCAGTTTTGATCATTCTCTTTAAACTGACCACCATGCAGCTTTATACTGGCCTTGCACCTTTCGACTGAACAGTTTTGATCATTCTCTACCTTTAAACTGACCACCATGCAGCTTAGTTTTTTGAAAATCTAAAAAATTTTCCACTGGTTTGCCGATAAAGTGGCATCTATAGATTGAAAATAATTTTCAAGATTATCATTAATTCTGTTTTTATTTTCGCAAAGAAGATAAAGTTCGATTAGAGCAAAAATTTCAATAATCTTTACGCTATTTGGCAGATCAACTAGTGGATGGTAAACGCAAATTTTTTTAATTTTTACAGACGGCTTTTTATAGCAATAGCTGATAAACAAATACTTCATAGAGTTTTTAGCTCACCATGAGTTTGAAAATCTTGCATTTTTTCTATACTAATGTTACATCAAGGGCAAAGATGTGTTGATGCAGCACTTTTAACTCCAAAAAAAAATATTCGCCTATTTTATATCAGAAGCACAAAACTATGTTAAGTCATTAAGCTTCTAAAATAGTTCTAATTTTTTCAAAATTCGAATGAGATTCAGCGATGTTTTATGCTAAGGCAATAATAAATAATTTGTTTATGCCACCACCTTTGTATTTTTTATTGCCTATTCCTTCCTCATAGCTAAACTTTTTTGGCATTAGATTCTGTCACTTTTTCTATTATATTTAAACAAACTTTTAAAAATCCACCTCCAACGCCAATGCCCACCTTTAGAATGTAATCTTTTAACAATTCTTACCTTTAGAATGTAATCCTTTAACAATTCTCACCTTTAGAATGTAATCCTTTAACTCTTCTTTTTTACTGTCTCAACTAGTACTTTAATGTTTTTACAAAAAACCAATTGTTTAAAATCTTTTTCAAAATATGCTTATTTTTTACATCAAATAATCTTTTTTTTAAAACTTCTTCACTTAATTTCTCTCTTACATTACTTTCAAATAAGTCTCTTTTCTTCCAGCTTCTAAATATGCTAAGAACCTTGGCTCTATAACTAAGTCTACAAGTGTTTTTAAATTTACTTTTTTCTGAAGTTGTGATTTTTTCAACTAAAATAAATGCTTTTGCAGAGCTTTTTGATTGTTCAACGGCAAGTGCTGTAAATTTGTCTGCAAACTTAAATTTAGTTCCCTCCTCCTCCAATTTTCTTTTCAGCACCTTTGAGCATTGAACGTCGGCACTTTTTATATCTTAATATCAAAAGAAATTTGCATCCATGTTTTCAGCTTTTACTTTCAAATCTTTTATATAAATTTCAAAATTTTAAGTTTAAAAAAAAAAAGTAAAAATAATAAAAT